TCAGACGCTTCAGAATGTGCAGACGGGGGAAGCGAGCCAGCGTGCTTGTGAAGCTCAGGCAGCGCGGATTCAGGACGCCGTTGCCTAGCATCCATCTGGCGAACCTCCGCTCTTTACCCAACAAAATGGACAAACTCCTTCTGCTCTCCCGGACAAATAAGGATTTTTCAAACTTTGCTGCTCTGTGTTTCACGGAAACCCAGCGCGTTGAGTCTCCCGGGCTTTCAACTGTTCAGAGCGGATCGCGATGCAGAATCAACGGGGAAATCACGCGGCGACGGGACATGCTTTTACATCAATGAGAGGTGGTGTACAGATATAACTGTGTTAAAGAAGATGTGCTATTCATATCTGGAAGTGCTCTTCATTAACTGTAAGCCTTTTCTACTCGCCGCTGGAGTTTTGCTCATTCATTCTGGTCAGTGTTTACATTCCACCGCATCGGCTCCGCTTTACAGAAACTCGCTGATCAGATCACAGAGACAGAACAACAACACCCGGACTCTGTTTTAATCATCAGACTTTAATAAAGCCAGACACCTCTCCACACAACCTTTCACACCTCCAGCAACCCCCACACCTGCAATTCAGATCAGCAAAGACGAAGTGTGCCAGGTCTTCAGGAAGCAGAAAAGGAAAAAAGCACCAGGTCTGTCTGAAATCCTGTGATGACCAGCTGGCCCACATCTTCACACAGATCTTCAACAGATCACTGGAGCTGTGCGAAGTCCCTTCATGCTTCAAACGCTCCACCATCATCCCCATCCCAAAGAAATCCAAAATTACAGGACTAAATGACTACAGGCTTGTGGCTCTAACGTCTGTGGTCATATTTACTTGTTCTATTTTTTATTTATTTTTATTTTTTATTGTCTGTGTTTTTATGTTCTCTCACTGTCATTCTATTACACTGTAGAAGCTTCTGTAACGAAAACAAATTCCTTGTATGTGTAAACATGCCTGGCAATAAAGCTCATTCTGATTCTGATTCTGAAAAACTAACAACCATCAGTATAATGACAGTTTTATTCTTTGCATAAAAACACTTCAATTAATTGAACACTAATTGAACACTGGGTGTATTACAACTTTAGAATTGTAATATTTATTTGGTTCTGCACTTTTTTCTTGCCACAGAATTACAATCGTATCGACTGAAATATGAAAAAGGTTTTTGCACAGTGGTGGCCACTAGCGGAGTGAGCTGTGAACAGCAATAAGGTATAGCTAAGAGTGGTCCAGACTAACCTTACGAACGAATGACTTACAGAAGGTATACTTAACTAAGAACGTTTTGGGAAACACGTATTAACGTAAAGGTACAACTTAAGGTATAATTTACGAATGACGTAGCGTTAAGAAGGTTTTGGGAAACGCAGCCCAGATCTCTTCAGCTGCGCTGATGGCACGCATGCTGCTGCTGCAGGACACAAAACACCGTCGAGCCGCTCTTGACAGTCGCGGTAGCACGGTCTTAATTGCAGAAATGTGGCAAAACATCTCTGGAAAGAACCTCAGATTATTAAATTCGAAAGTGCTTTCCATATTTCAAGGGTGGCGAACGTCAGTCCTGGAGAGCCTCAGCCCTGCAGAGTTTTGCTTAAACCCTAATCAAACACACCTGAACAAGCTAATCAAGGTCTGAAGGGTTACTAGAAAGCTACAGGCAGGGAGACAGAAGCGAAAATTGTAATTAAACCCTCCGCACCGCTGTTCCACCTGACTGCTTCACCTCGTTAAGTAATTTATAATTACCACAGCGCAGGCAAAAACATTCTCCCCGCCCTCTATGTGATATGATAACTCAAGGTGAGCAACCGGAAGACTACAAGCTGATGGCTGTCCTTCGTGTGTCCAGGGGGAAGCGGGATTATCCTTAAGCGGGTCTGTTCCATACGACTGCCTGATAACACTGGACCCCCTAGTTGAACAGACACCTGGTTGCAGAAAATCCCAGCAGCCCTCCCCTCCGGAGTAGACCACTAATCAGGCGCTATAGAGAGCGAGCGAGAGAGAGAGAGTGATAGAGCCAGTAAGAGTTGAGTCCTAAGACAGGCCACAGCTGAGCTCAAACCTGTTAAAGTCAATTATGTCAGGGACGAGTTCCAGGAGAGGGGAGCCATGAGTGAAATTAAAGCCTGGCTCTTGAGGTGACAGACGGCCTGTCTGTGTGAAGGGATAATCTTATAAACACCTGAAAAATCCTCAAAATAAGGCCTGGCAAATTGGGCGCTAAGAGGCGAACAGCTGCATCACTTTAGCATGTGGTATTTACTGCATCTTATTCAGATACCAGATAACCAGCCGCTGTGTACATGGCCCCGTTTACACCTGGTATGAAATTAAATTCACCCAATCCATTATATAAATGCATGTTATTGATCTTATTGTGAACAATTCATCTGTGCATGTTTCATTTTTTTTTTTAAGTTCTGACCTCGTAATCCAATTCAGATCTGTCTACATCCAATCAACACCTGACGGATAGAATCAAGAGCCCCATCCTACATTTTCTATATTATCACAATCTATTTCACTATGATGTGCATGGCAGTATGGAAGAAGAGACTTAACACTGCATCCGTTTCTTCAGGACTTTAAGATGAGTTTTATATCAATTTTTTTATTTTTTTTTATACTTGCATACAATGTATGATCAGATGAAGATCCAAAAAGGATCTTACGTCACTTACGTCTTACATTAACATTTCAGACATCTACAGCACCAGTGGAAAAATGGAAAAGGTACTGGTAATTTTCTGCCAGGATATTTCCCATTAAGTTTACAGATAATTTTGTCAGAACAATTTACTACCCTTTTGTAGTATTTTTTGTTTAATTTCCCACATATGCACACATATGTGCAGGTCTGTGTATATCTGGCCTTCTGCCCACTTATATGTTTGCCTCGTAACAAACTGCCCCGTGCAAATCGTGATCAGACTGCACAAATGTGCTCAACTTTGTGTTTGCACCATTACTAATTTGCATAATTCTTCTGGGCCTTAAAACAACACAGACACTGGCTGTGAATAAATTATGCTATCAGCAGTCGCAACTCATTCTCAGTTAAATCACCTTAAATGATCTTAGAATGAGGGCACAGTGGAATATTTGCTTTCTGAGCACATTTTAATCTTGTATGAAATTAAACTTTCAAAATGAAGTTCTCATTTAGTTTTTATAGACTAAATGTGACAATTAAAGCCTAAAGTATCTGTGTCTAACAAACTACACTCAGATTCAGCTAATAAACAGCTTTTAGTGTATTGAGTTCAAACTGTCCAAGACTCAATGGCAAATTTCTAACATATTGAGACAATTCTGAGGTAAGCTTTTTTCTGGAAAGAAATCATATTATAGACAGTGATTTTTTTTAATGCCACCATTAGCTTCAACACATTAGTTAACTAAAGGGGTCATATGATGCTTTTTTAAAGATTAGTATTTTGTGTATTTGGTGTATCAGAATATGTTGACATGCTTTAATGTTCAAAAAACACATTATTTTTCAAATACTGTACATTATTGTAGGTCCTCTATGCCCCGCCTCTCTCAAACGCTTCGTTTTCTACAAAGTCCCTCCTTCCGACAAGCACAGTCTGCTCTGATTGACCAGCTGACCCAGTGCATTGTGATTGGCCGAACACCGCAAGCACTTGTCGGAAATGTAACGCCCCTTACCATAATCGCGAGCTTCATCTTTCAAAATAAATGTAAAGACAGTAAATAATGTCATTAGTTTTACCATCACTTCAAGCCCGAAAGGGGAACAGACACAGTAATGATGCGGTACACAAGCTGCGGTTAAGACAGCTGACTCTACTGGGATGTGACGCTGTCTCTCTCTCTTTCTCTCACACACATACGCGCACGCACGCACGCACGCACGCACACACACACACACACACACACACACACACACACACACACACACAATGCGCAAAACTCGCATTTGAACAGTCAAAACACTAACTGCGGTTACTGAAACCATGCCTTCTTTCTTTGCGTGCACATTTGGGCAGCATTATGCAAATATTTCCACATAGTGAGGTAGATATGTGGGGCGTGTTAGAATGAGCCGTTTTAGGGGGGCGTGGCAGAGTCTTAACTTTGATAAAGAATATCTCTTTGGCTTTGAGACTTTAGTCTTTGCAACTTCAGGGATCTTATCTATGCACAATCAGCTTGTAACACTCCAAAGAGAAAGGAAAACTTGAAATCGCATCATATGACCCCTTTAACTAAGTGTGCAGTACAATGTAAATATGGGATATTTAGTAATATAGGATATTAATACAAATGCAGTTTTATTTCACATTTTAAGTTCCATAACATTAGAGGGCTAGTGTGAAAAAAAGTTCAAATTGGCTTTCTAGTGTGATTGCAATAGCAAAAAGTGCACTGCAAGTACACACACACACACACACACATACAGAGAGAGAGAGAGAGAGAGAGAGAGATACGGCATAGGTAAAACCAAAGTTCAAGGCTTACTTGTCATCACTTAATTTATCATGCTGAAGACAACAAGATTTTATGCTCATCTCCTGCATTTTTTTACATTTACATTGAAAGTGATATATATCATGTATATATATATATATATGTAGGGATTTCATATACAGGATACGGAGATGCCACTGGATCACCATCATGAGGCTTTGAATTAATCTAATCAAGAGATACCACAGAGACCTTTTGTACCAGAGCTGAAAAGCCTTTTCATGACATATGGATGCCTCGTGATTGTGGATGCATAGAACCATTATGTCCAGAACAGGAAAAGAATTAAATAATGCCCTCAGGCAAGCACAGGATATACAGCGTGACGCCACATGACTATCCCATGTTTAACCACCTGCTTCCTGCATGACCGAAACCCTTACTTTCTCGTGTCACAGACAAAGAAACAGAGAGTACACAGACAATCATTAAAAAATCATTGAAAGTATTGGAGCAACTATATTCACAAATAATGTTTTATGTCTTAAATATGTGTGATGTGTTTATCGAAACCATGATACCTCAATCTTGGCCTTATAACTTTTCTTTTAGTGATTATGATTACTGTGTATGCAAAATACCTGTTGTTTAAGCTTGAATGAGAGCTTGTCTTATTCGCCGAACATTGGTGTAAATGAATAATTGATATTCAGCATAATTTTCCGGTGATGATAGTTTTATAAGAAGTTCTTTAACACTTGCAGAAATACTCTCCACAAACAGCAGGCAATAAGCCACCATCTGATTGGACAGCGACCTGTGGGCTGAACAAAAGTTTAGAGCAGGGGTACCCATCCCTGCTCCTGGCGATCGACTGCCCTGCAAAGTTTAGCTCCAACACTAATCAAAGACACCTGCATTTAATTTTTAAGTGATCTTAAAGGGATCACAGACAGATAAACCAGTCCCTCGTTCTGTCTTGCTTCTCGGTTATTTCAGGCAAAATTCTAATTTTAAATGCAAACTGCCCAATTAGCAGCTGTAAAAGTGGCAATGCCTGGCTGCTGTACAGGAAGACAGCTATAAGAGCGGTCTGCAGGAGCAGCAGGTGAGACCTCAGCTCCTCGAGAGAGTTCACAGCAGCTGGCATTCTGCCTGTGTCTGGAGATAGACTGTTTCTTAATGGCTGACTTCCCCCATTGATCTGACTTCTGTATTAGTGAATGGGGGATTAACCCTTTATCCACATTTCCTGATCCTTTTTGGAGAGTTTTGCACGACAGGATAAATTGGGGATAGAGAACACAACCAAAATATAATTTCTTTCTCTATCATTACGGACTGTTCACAGCCCTTTCCAACAGCCACAAACCCAAATAGCGAAATCTTAGTAATGATCTATACAGACTTGAGTGACAATCCCACTGGTAAACAGGATTGGAGTTTACAGCAAAAAACTCTCACTTTTGTTTCCTTGTGGACTCGCATTGATTGCTTCAGGTCAAAAATTCATGCTGTTTTAGTTATTGAGAGCTTTGAAAATGAAATGGCATGAAATGTGTTTCCCCTCCTTTGTGACCCCAGAGGGAGAGAAAGAAAAGAAAAAATCAATATAAAACTTCACATACCTGTATATCGCATCACATGTTATTTTAGAGCATTATCAACTGATTTATGAGGTTGGAATGAAAAATATAAGTGACAAGATGTCTGAACAGAAATATTGATCTGCACTTTAGAAGCAGAAAGTAGAATGCCAAAAAGTCACAAAAAATGCATGACTTAGGTGTTGAGACAGATGTAAAGACAAATGGAAAGGGAAAAAGAAGATCTCTGAGGAAACTCGGGATGATACTCCATCCCCTCAGTCTTAGGAACAAGATGATACACAGCAATCAGATGATCAATACAAGCCAAGCGTTATGCTGCTTCCTGAAAGGCAAAGTCATAGTGTTGATTACTAGTGGCCTCTGGGTAGGTTCTGACTATGCTTTGTGTTTTCTCTGGTGGTCTGTACATCATTTTACTGGGCTGTTCTCTGAGCAGTGACCCTGCTGGGAAGAAGTCAGAGACCATGTACTCATGCGGCCATGCTCATAATTAGCCACTCTCAGAGGTGTAGAATTAAAGATGGCAATTTTCAGAGATCTCCTGGTTTTACACTTCATTGTAATATTTTACACTCTGGAACTCTATGCTGAGGAAACTTCCTCCAAACATTCATTCAACATCATCATGATCTTGCTCAAAGTGATTTCATATCTGGATTTGATTTAAATGGGTGCCGTCAGAATGAGAGTTCTCACAGCTGATTAAAAACATCACACAAGTAATCCACACAACTCAAGTCGATCAATTCGATCAAAACATTGTTTGAAGTGAAAAGCTGCATGTTTAGAAGAAAAAAAATCCATCAGTAAATTTTTAACTTTAAACTGCCGCTTCTGACCAAAATATAAGACCATGATCCGTAGTGAGATAAGCACATCCTCATCCTCTTTGAAATCTGTTGGGCTGTTTTTGCTTGTAAACAGTGCTTGATCTGTGCATATTTCTCTCTTGATTCAGACTAGACCACTTTTTCACTGGAAAAACATTATTATGGATAATGGACCTTTAGCCGGAAGCAATGGTTTGACGTAAAAAAATGCCTTAACAACAGGCTTATTGCAAACACAGCTTTTCACTTCACAAGATGTCAATTGTTCAACTCGAGTCATGTGGATTACTTGTGGATTATTATGATATTTTTTATCAGCTATTTAGACTCCTGTCATTCTGACGGCACCCATTCACTGCAGAGGATCCACTGGTGAGCAAGTGATGTAGGCCTAATGCTAAATCTCCAAATCTCTTCAGATGAAAAAAAAAAATTTCATTTACATTTTGGATGGGCTGAGGGTGAGTACATTTTAAGCAAATTTTCATTTTTGGGTGAACTATTCCTTTAAACAAATGGCCCTGGAGCAAAGTGTTGACAAGACACACAAGATGAGGACCTCTGCTAAACAACGACTTAATACTGTATGAGACTTGCAATGGTTGCAAGTGAATCCTAACCACTGATGAACCACCAATATTTGCATCTTGTAAGAACCAAGAGAATTTTGCACTACCATCAGTTGAGGCTATATACTCAATGACTTCCAATCATCTTTTTTTCATAAGGTTGATTTCATAAGGCTGCTGTTTGTTTTCACACCGCCGCAGGATATGAAGATCTCAACAATGCTTCAGTCTCTTATCAAAGGTGACGGGCACGGCTGCTGGACGCCCCTCTGACCTTCCCTGCTGCTGAGCCTATTACGCACCAATTAGCAGCTGCGGCCTGCTGTGGCCAGGAGGACAGCTGCTAGACCCACATGGCAGTAATTCAATAAGAGCTCCCCGCAGGGTGTGAGGAAACATGAGTGCACCTCTCCCTCTCTCACACCTTCTAGAGGGAGATCTTTCAGATGTGTGAAGGCAGCAGGAAATCTTGCTGAGCTTTGCCATGTGGCTGATTGGATTTAGTTTTGGGCGAATTGGATTAAAGGCTCGTCAGAAATGATGCAAACTCTTTAGTATGATGATGGCCAACAATCGGGGGAGAGGAATTCTGTCATAATTGCATTATTCACAAGTTCATTATGACGATGAAGGCTGTAGCACACAAATTTACGGTTACACAGCGAACCTTTTTGTCATTTGGCAGTGTAAGATCAGTGCTCGAACGGTTTCAAGGGAGAGGGTTTATTGTCAATATAATAGGTGACAATGCTCTGAGCAACTACACCATTTAAACAGATGTAAAAGGATTTCAGTGTTTTCAACGAGTGCTGATAAAACAGATCTCGTGTCATAAATGTGCTCTAAAATCCTCTTTAAAAGATTGTAATTATTCCACTGGGAGCTTCAACCATAATCCAGGGTGATTATCGACGAAAAAATGCATTAATGACTACTAATAGCACTTGTGCAATGAAAAAGCAAAACAAAAGAAACTGAAACACTAGAGCAACCCTGGCAATAGTGCATCTGGGTAAACACAAGAAATTGCTCAATAAATCACCACCCTCCTTCAGAGCTGGAGGCAAAGCTTATGATGTGTCATTTCGGCAGTCTTTTCATCAGTAAATATGAGGGCTCCTTCAGTGAGGAGTATCTCCATCAAACACAGAACTCCTCACAACACTCCGACAACTTCCGTTTGATGGCTCACTTTCAATATAAATGTTAAAAAATGCAGGAGATGAGCATAACATATTTTTGTCTTCAGCATGATAAATGAAGTGATGACAAGTAAGCCTTGAGCTTTGGTTTTACCTATGCAGTGTCTCTCTCTGTGTGTCTGTGTGTGTGTGTGTGTGTGCATGCATGTCAAGACTCGAGTGTGCAATGTGAAAAAGGGGAAAAAAACAGTAAGAACAAACTGCAAAGCATGCATGTGAAAAACGGATAGGCAAAACATTTATCTCTGTTTGATTAATGAATCAAGAATATTTATCTCCGTTTGATTGATGAATCAGGGACGGGGTAATGTATGGAAATATATTACTTCAATAAATGCAAAAATATGCTGCTTTGACCTCTTAAAACAGAGTATAACGAGTATTTGAACTTTTACGCTGCACAATGGATGTAAAATAATCTTTTTTTTTCTCATGTCATAGGAATGATTGATGTGCTAAAAATCATAATGCTAATAGATACAACACATGACTGAAAAGTATGTGAACATGATAATTAATGAGAGTACCTATTTCAGTTACACCAATTACTAAAAGCTACACAAAATCAAACATACATTCAAACAATCCTCTGGTTCAATGGGCGCAAATTACTGCATCCATGTTCAAACATCTAGTGGAAAAACTTCCTAGAAGAGAAAATGGTGAACCAATACTCCATAAAATGCCTAAGGTTTTAAAATGAAATATTCAAATAGAACATACTTAGTATGGGTGGTGTTCATGTATCAACATACTTCTGGCCATGTAGTGCACAATATGCAAGAGTCGTCAACAAATTTGAGAGACCTATAATGAATCTTGAATGATATTTTAATGCTTAATTTCTGGCAACAGAAAAAGAGGAAACAAATAGTTCACATCTAGAAACACTACACATTTAGTTATGTTATTTGTTACATGATGTCCCAATGGTTCAAATATGTTAAAGGAAAAGTTCACAAAAAAATAAAATAAAATAAATAAATAAAGTAAATCTGTCATCAGTTACTCACCATCAAGCGGTTTCAAACCAGTATGAATTTCTTTCTTCTGAGGAACATAAAACAAGATATTTTGAAGAATGATGGTAGCCAAACAACATTGGTGATCACTGAATGGAGGAAAAGAAAAAAATATCAAAAAATATTTATAAAAAAAGAAAGTCAAGAAAGTTTTACAATCCATACATACTACTATCATTCAGAAATAAACTTTGAGAATGAAGTTCCAAAAATTTTCAATAAAAGGAAACAAAGATTTACATTTCTAAAACCCTACAGCTTTAGTGCGCTCAACATTTATCTTTTGATTTGTCTTTAAAAATCCCACAAAATATAATTACATTTGGCCAGTAGGCATGACTTAGAGAAGCTCGTTGGGTTAAAAGTATGTGGGAGTTTGGATTACATCTGACCTTGACTTCACCTAAAGAACTCTGAGAAACTCATACAGCAAGTGTCTCCACGGCAGCAGTGCATTACTTAATCAACTGATAACAAAGCCAGATAAGGTCCCAATTCTATTAGGGACCAAAATAA